TGACCGTGAAGGGGAATTGGGTCTGCGGTAGTAATAATTAGGGGGTTGGGAATGGGGCGTGGGCTTGTGGCGTATACATACATGACCGTAGTCGACTTGTGCTTATCGGGAACTGGCGGTTAAGGATGTCAGAGCAAGTACTATTACCTGCTTTCGCTGTATATCAGTCTTACCTAACCGCAGACATCCAACCTATTTGTAAGCATCGCAAGTGTCACGAGGCAATTGAACCCGACATCCTTCAAAATCCACCGGAACGTGCATAACATAGAGTAATGTATGGTAAAATGCCGGTGCTGAGAATACCCCTGGCGCATTCTTAGCTTTCTATTTACTTGGGACAAAATTAAAAATCAACATAACTCATTGAGATTCCGGTGGTCAAATAGAAGGAATGTCACTGCTGACGTATGAAGAGCCGTTGGTTCATGGAGTTCAAGACGTCTTCCCGTGTCAATCTGATTTCATGTATGTATGAAACACACGATTTTTCGAACTCTAGCTGCCTTAAAGCCAAGTTACCAAGCAAGGAGAGCGAATACCTACGCGTGGCTGAAACCGTGTGACCCGAACTCTGGCTTGCTCGTCTTTGAGAACACGAATGGGGGAGGTAGTTCTAGTGACGGCATCGGTATGCCCAGAATAGCCGTAGGGGATAGTAACAATTCGAGAAGACGCCAATAATCAGCAGTCTAAATGAGCATAAACCTACATAGCCTTAACGAGGTCACTGGTTAGGCCCCTATCGCCATCAGACACCTAGCTAAGCCAGGCAGGGCATTGCAGTCCATAACGAACACAAAGCTCAATATACACACAAGGAAGCACCAAGTCAGATAGGTAATATAATAGACGCCACACGGTCTTTATCATTTCCGGTGTATTCCAAATGCTTCGAATAGCTAATAAGTAAAACTCTATATATATGCTAGCGACCACACGCCTAGAAGACAGAACACCGCCTGCGCCACTCATGCTTCGCTATTCTAACCACAAAAAAAAAATGCGCGGGTACGTACTGTACATACATACGCACATACATAAGTCCCCCTCTTACAGGACGACCAGGTTATTGATATTCAGGCCCTGGCTCTCGACATGGTACCTCCTGCGGAGCCCGAGGCTCCGCGTGGTCTTCAGGACCTCGTAGGCCTCGTCGCCGCCGCCGGTCATGAGCATGGCAATGGGGTGGTGGCGGGGGATGCCCGCGGGGGTCTTCTGCGGCTCGTCGAGCAGCGGGCGGATGAAGTTGAAGCCCCAGACGTCCTCGTCCTCCTCCCGCTCGCCCTCATCCTTGTCGTCCGACACGATGAGCACGAGCTGCAGCGCGTCGCGGTGCGGCGCGAACGATGGGATGTTTGCCAGCTTCGCCGAGAACGAGCACCCGCCGCGCCGCATCACGATCACCTGGTGCGCCTTCGGCGCCACGTCGGGCAGCTTGCCCGCGCACGCCTCGTCCGCGAAGTAGATGCGCTGCCAGGACAGCGACTCGATGGGCCCCGCCGCTGTCTGCGGGTTGGGCGCCTCCTGGATATCGGGAAGCGGCGCCGTGCCGACCCCGACCGGGGTGATGGCGGGCATTTCTATATATCTATAGTCTGGTGTCGGGGCGGGCTCGGGGCTGAAGGTAGTGGCGGGCTCCCGTAACACAGACGTGATTTGTTGAAAGAACGAGTTGAATAAGTTCGTGCTGCCGATAGCAGAGCTGGGGAGCTCGATAGTATGCTGCGACTCCGATGACGGCTCCGGGTCTGTAGACGTCATGTTATGTTCATATTGTGGTTTGGGAGTCTCAATCTGTAAGAGAATGTCGACAATGACAGAGTCTCGAACACGATGAAACAGAGGATCTGACATGTCCGCCAGGACCTCACGGGAGATGAAAACTTTCTCATCTCGGCCTAATGGCAGATTTCCGATACTATATATTCTCCAAGCTCGTTCAGATGTTTCGGGCGGTTCTTCCATGAGAAGGGCTAGTTTCAGGCCGGAGAGATTGTTGATCGCAATACCGTCACTACCCATCCGGACGAGATTGTGCCCGCCGAACATAATATTGAAAGCGCTGCCCATGGTATTTTGGCTGTTGGAAGGAAACTCAATTATCGAAGTATGAGTTTGTCTTGACAGTGCACAGATTCCGTCGTCTGGAAGCATGGAAGGGGGAAGAGTCCAGGGGAAGTAGGTATAATTGGTTGTTGGCTTGAGGAATTGTCTCGTCCGCCCTTGTGGACCATCTAACTTGGCAACTAGTTCTGACGCACCATGTATGTTGGGAACCTGATGGAGTCGAATCAAAGTAGCCGCATTGTAAAGGTCAGGCCTTGCAGCAGTGGCAGAGCCGGTGAGTGGAGGAAGGACTGGCGGGCGGGGACAAGTGTTCGTGAAATCGGTATTTATATAAGGCTGGATATCCTTTCCGGGTGACGGCTTGCGAACTGGATGGCGGTGGTGCTTCCGGGGAATAATTAATGGATGACCTTCTGTAGTGAACACATACGAAGCATCAAGCTTATTCAAGGGATGGTCTGGATCGAAGAGCAGATATAAGTACTTGGCAGTCTCTCCTAGGAAGAAACTCTCCATCCGATCACTCTTCTCACCAGTGCGCACATCTTGCAACCCAGACCAGCCGCATTCTGTTCGGCATCTCCTATAAATATCCTTCAATACCATTTCACCCGCATAAAGATACCACGGGTCTCTGGTAGCGCGATATAAATGATATGTTGATTCAATAAATTCCGGCCGGCCGGGCCACCATCCGAGTCCGCCTTCAACATTGCCGTCGCGAACGGACCATCGCTCAGGGAGGGCGGAGTAGCGAGTCCAAAGAGCCGTGTAAAGCAGATGCGTTTCAATGGCCTCATCTAACTCACCAGCAAGTGCCAATAGACCGGAATAATATGCGCCTAGGCTATCGATCCAATAGGCTTGTGGCGAACCAGTAGACATATGGGCATTCACGTAATGAGGGTGATGAACCCCTGAATAAAGGTGCCGCTTGATGGCAGCATGTGCATGATGCCAAGCTTGTAGGAAAGACTCGTCAGAATTGTCTTCATCTGAAAGTGGATGATAGATTTTGTTGGGGTCGAGCCAGCTTCCATGAGGAACCTGGTCAGGCATTGTGAGGTTGGGCAACTCATGACCTGATAACAGGATATGGGTCTTGAGGGCATATTCGAAGAAGCTGTCAATGCCTGCACCAATCCCAGCAAAACCCCCTATCCAGTGGCCTGCCTCGGCATCTACACCGGCACCAATTAGCCCAATGTTGCTTCTTCTTGACCAGACAGCCCAGAAAGCCCGTTTGGCTGCTTGTTCAAATCTTGGGTCACCAGTCAGCCGGCTCAACACGGTAAACTCAAGCACCAAGCTCCCAGCTCCTGCACTGCAAGTTTCGGTGATTTCGGGCGAGTCTTCAGCCCGCTCTGGATGCAAGCTGACATTTTCGTGGAGCGGCGAATTGAAGTAGAATGGTATGCCATGACGGAGGTTGACACGCGGATATGGCAACCCTGTCTGAGTATAGAAGGCCGGAAGTAAACGTTGAGCCAGGTCAAAAGCAAGCCGCAGCAACTGCCCGTCGTACTTAAATCCATTCGGCCAGACAATGGTATGCTGCTCAGTTTCGTCGTTGGTCCTCGGTGGGTTATAACCAGAAATTGGCAACTCGCCAACAGCGAAAAGATGCGCGCTGAGCAGACCACCAACACCCCTTATTACTGTCTCAAATACTTGGACTTTGCTATCAACATCGAATCCCCGACCTCGAGCACCCTGGCCCGACGGGCCGGGCCGTCCATCGCCATACTGTGCTACCAGGGCAGCAATACCATCCTGAAAATCGCCCAACGCTTTCGAACCTGTGTTCCTACTATCCGGGGACGCAGATGCAAGGATGGCGAGGGACGAGAGACTGTCGATGAGAGTCAAAGAATAGTTCCCGAGGACGTCGTTGAGCGCGAAGTTTCTTGGATTGAGGGGATCTCGAGTCAACGGAGTGCAAGACACTGGCCGTAGCTGCAAGGGTGAGTCAGTACAGGGTCTCAGGGTCTATCTTACTTGCATATAGGAATGCATACCTCATCCTCGGGAAACGCGATCTTCATGTAATTATCGAACCCATGATAGAACATATCAACCGTCTCCTGCTTCAGCTCCGCGATGCGACTGGGGCGCATCGACGCCACGGAGCTCACCCATGGCAACAACAGCACGAACAGCAATATTATCCTGGATATCGCCCCGGGGGTTGTCAAGTCGTGCGGGAGGGCCAACGTCCAGCTGCCCATGCCCATGCCTAGCAAGGGCATCACCGGTAGGAGGAGGCAAAAGAATGCATGTGGGTAAAAGGAAATAAACTGGTGAAATGAACACCGTTCGTTCTTGGACCAACAGGAGCAATTCTGATGAAGATTGTCCCCCGGAAACGGCAAGGCTGCAGATGCAGAGGTTGGTGTTGGTTCGACTTGCGAATTGCGAATTGCGACTTGGAGCCAACACAACAAACTTGCTATATACGGATATGTAGACTACCTACCTACATGTATCGAATGTTGATGTGATGCGATGCTGTCATGGATGAATGAAAAGATTCGATTTATTATGGACCTCCTTCACTAACAGAGACCATGCGCTGATTAGCTGTCCAGCTGATAAGACCCCTTGTACATGCTACCACCCGTCAGATCTGGACTGGCCTGAGGACACGTGCCATTGTCGGCATGCGGAAATTCCAACGGAGGATCAGGTACATGTCAAATGTACCGGCGGGTACCAAGGTAGTGTACAGATCGGAACAAAAAGCAAGGCATGCCACGTTGACTTGGCGGCTAATCGCAGGCTAAGCAGTTGCGGCCTCCGTACTCTGCTGCCACCTGCAGGTATAGATACATTGTGCCGGCAGCTCCTACATAGTGTACATTTCCGTGACCTCGGCCCCAGTAGGCCTTCACATTATAAGCCATCTTTTCTTGCCGAGAACCCCAAGCCAGTCCTCCGTGGCGCAATTGGCTAGCGCGTCTGTATGCCTACACTTGATCAGACATTTCATCTTTCCAAAACTAACGAGATACAGGACTGTTATTAGCCCTACAAGGCAAAGCAATCAGGAGGTTGACAGTTCAAGCCTGTCCGGGGGAGTTACCCATATATTTTTGCCTTGCAATTAATCGTCTAAGTCAGATGAGGGTATATACATTGTGTACTTATATTTCTTTTGTTCAGAGTACCACTGGGTTCACAGTGAGTTTCAAGTTTATGGGAGAAGCTCGAAGCGTTGTACCTGTGTAGTTGCTAAATTAAGTTCACTTTGAAAGTACGTTGTGTACACGTTACCTTCAATTCTTCAATACTGATGGGCCACGGCGACAATCTACGGCGACAACACAATACCTTACCACTTCCGGAATTCAATACCTTTCATAACATTCGCCATTCGTGCCAATGGTGGTACAATTACCTATTACACAGTGTGTACCTCATATATCTAAGTTCTTGCGACTTAATGACTTCGCATGAGGTATTGAACAGTTGAACTTATGCCTTCTCATGATCGGGAACTTTTGACAATGACCTAATTCCATGTGGTAATTCTAAGCTCTGTGCCGCCTAGGCGAAGGACAAAGGAACTACGTCCCTGCCAGACTGGCCGTTAGTATGGATCATCTCTCGACAGATACCAAGTAAACTTCCACCACTTTCACCGCATTCAGAACTTGCTTCTCCACTTCTTATCCGGGTGTCTGAAGCTTGTGTTCACCGTAGCGAGATGATAGTGGATGGGAAGCAGACCAGGGCCCATTGACATGGTGGGAGTGTCTTACATACACGTTTGCTTCCAAAAGTCTTTCGATTTCACAAGGGCGAAGCCCACTCTATTATGTGTAGTTCAGACAGCCTCAAGCGAAGGTAGTACGAGCACTCGACCCATTTCGCGACGACGGACGGTAAATCTCCCCAGCCTGCAAAATCTGATCTACGTAGTATCTCCCTTGCCTACCCAGCCTCATAGGGTGCTACTCGGAGATGTGCCGGCTTCGTTACCCAGCTGCCGAAGGTGCACTCTGCTTCTTCCATATCTGGTTCGCTTAGCCTCAACCACGCAAGGAGTTCCTATTCTTGGGCGCCACCGCCTCTGTATTCCTCAACGTTGAAGATCAAAGCCCGCAAGGTAGGACTCTTTACTCTACAAAACCCGACGTTACACTCACCCACCTGTGCCACACTTGAGTTCACGTCACCATGCCCTCGATCATTACCATTGGAGACGGGTTACAGATAGAGTTGCTCACCAAGCCCAGATGTCTTGCTTGTTACATTGCAACGGCTAGCCAAGTGACATGGTTATCGTTCATGAAAATGTGTAGCACTATGGTAGTACCACGGAAGATATCCCCATTCAGCATATTAGCTATCAAGCAATTGGATAAACGTATAATAGATTTACTTTTGCAATTCTCACCAGTCTACCTAGTTACAAACATCAGATTATACCTTGTTCTCCATTATCAGCCAGGATTCCTGCCTGGTACCTTATACAGTCTGTTTACTTATTGCACAGAAGCAATTGGTAGTCAAGCGGCACAAGATTTGCGTGCCAAAACCCGTGGATATTTGATTGACGTTCATCTAAAGTTCCATGACACATGGGGCTCGTGTGGTGCACGACTCCAGGATCGCCGCCACCATGCAGAGCTAATTTCATGTATTCTTAGCTTGGATCATGGCGCCGGCCTATTGCACAGTCACTACATCGACGTCTGTGTATTATCAGTAGCCATGCTGCCGTGTTTCTGAAAGATGAGTACAAGTATACTCAAACCCCGGCACAGCTTCAAAAGCCAAGCTACGTCAGTGACAGATACAAATAGCGTTTTGGGGGCCTAGACAGGATTCTTCTCAAGCTGAACTAGAAATCTCACTACTCACCTCATCACCACGTTACAGATATCTTATCCTGGGGTTCAGCGTGCGTATTTGCTGAAAACGCTAGGATCTCAATTATTAAGCGCCTATCGGAGCATTTGCAGGGTCATTTAGGGCTGTCCGGGAGTTTGAGCCCATAGGATCACCCAAGCTCTTCTTTGGTTAGGTGGAGGTTATGACGCCCCTGGATTGGCTGCATACGTTGATTGTACATGTAATCACATAAGAAACCAGCATTATATTTGGATGTCCTTCATACAGTACAATAATTAAGATGAAGTGATAGTCGCCGGCATGATGATCCCGAAGCTTGGACCTTGGGGTCATTCCATGAAAGCATAGCTCAACATTCTATAAGGTATCCACCGAGCAGGGGAGCTTGTTGATGATCTGATTTTACATCTGGAGCTAGTTAGGGCGATCTGTATGACACCGGATTTCACGAAAGAGGAAAAGCAAACGACTCGTAGATACGAGCTCTATCCTTGGAAATTGGGCTTTGAAACTCTCTCACCTAATGTCCGTGCCTGATATTCATCGACTAGGTGGTGCTACAGTCAAGACAGTATCAAACACTATATTCCAGTATCGTACCAGGTTGACACTTACCAGCTTAACTTACAAATAGCTTAGTGATGCTATACGCTCATGTCTCAGGTTATTTGGCCCAGTCTCCCGGTATATGGCTTCGGCGCCACCTACACGCGATGGGAATGGACGCGCAGGAATCACGTATCTTGCCTGAACGTTTTATCAAAGCCCGTAATTTCGCAAACACTTGCCTTGAGTCCGACGATTGCGGGTCTCGGATCCGAGTCCTCGGGTCAATACAATCTCCGTCCCATCGGCAGTCTTCCGCTAACTGGCAGTCCACTCCCTACGTTTGCAAGGTTATCTACGAAGCTTAATTCCAGGCCATAGATGCAGATAGGTAGGTCACAGATCACCGTCGGGCTCCTCCTCCTTCTCCTCCTCCTGCAGCCCTGTACGCCCGCGTGCCAAGGTAGGATCGACCCCTCCCCCCCCCCTACTCAAACCACGACCGCATACATGCCGGGCAGTGTAGCACGGCCATGCGACTATAATTGAAAAAGATGCAGCCGAGTGTACATATGTATTTTTATTCTATAGGCCGGTCCGTCTGGAAGTTTTCACATCCGCGGTGTGCTTGAGGACGCAGTAAAATGCACAAATTCCCAGCGCCGCGGTTCGCAACCATCTCGAGTCGCTGAATGCTCCAATAGCGGGCAAGCGCTTGCTATCGGGCTGATTTGTCAGCCCCGTTTCTTAGACTTATCGCCAAAGGGGCGGTGTCCTTAACAGAGACACGCACCACTTAGGTCTACACCCACAATCCCGACATTGTATCCCATTCTTTGGGAGGGGGACCCAAGCTACCCGTCGTAGCAACAACTCCGGCATAAGTTCTTGTATATACGTACCTATGTACGAACTGGGTTGCCGATATATTGTATCGTGTCCGTGCTGTGTACTCAGGTGCCGATTGCTTTCTTTGTCTCTAGGAACTCTCCGTATGGACATACACGCGCAGATCCCGTACGTAGGTAGCTTGGGGGCCACGATGGGGTATAGACCATCGGAGAAAGTAGGACGATGATCCTAGGTGACTTGCACAGCGGCCAAATCACAGGATCTCGCACGTGCAACAACACGTGGTCAAGTCCCGCGGGCGTCTGGCTCAGCAATGCCGTGTCTCATGGTACCGCAGTGAGGAGTGCGTCCTTCTACGAGGTTCAGCGCCTATTCCTGGGGCTTCCTTTTTCAGCTTCACTCTATCTACGCGTTCTAGTTGGGCCCCGACTGGGCCGATGGATTCGACAAATCCGTCGACCACGTTCAGCAGCAGCGCGTCTAGAAAAATCCGCGCCTCGGACCAGCAGACTGTCGAGCAGAATCTGGCCGAGGGTAGCACCGCGACTGGCCGCTGCTCACACTTCTTCCTCGTGTTTAGGTGGCGGCCGCCGTCGTGGCGGGTGGACCCCGAGCCGAGCGCCTGCGAGTTGCTGCTGCTGTACTAGGTACGTGTACGTAAGTAGGAGATGGGATCTATAGATGGACATATAGGTAGAATATAGAATATAGAAACAGGCGCAGCAAGCGCAAGCCCGCACGACGTTCGTGTTCTTGACGTATGTGAGTATGTATGTACGTATGTATCGATCTATCTATCAGGTTTCCGATTTAGATGGTCGCCGTTCTAAGTCTGTCCCTTGCAGCGTCTCGTGATCCACCGTACCCCGTCAGTCTGGTCAAGTCGGCGAGACATCTAGCCAGCGGGTGGGGGCGGACGGGAGCATGGTGTTTCTGAATGTCTCTCTTGACGACCAAATATAGAACCCAAGCCATGGGGCTACGATGTGGGGGAAAGGAGATTCGATATCGCGCTCGCTCGTCTATGGCACGGGGACGCGGTCTAGAAAACTGAGCTGCCAAAGCGACGAGTCGCTTTATGGGGCAGAAAGTAAACTTGAGATGGACTAAGGATCCTCCTGGTGGGCTCGCTGGAGGCAAGGAGATGCCTGCGATATTTGAAGCTCTAATTCCACTAAGTAGATGCAAGCACGTAGGTAGCAAGGACATGAGAATGAACACCGCCTAACCTGGTCTTCACAAGAGAAGATTTTGAAGTCAAAACAGTAGTCAATTACAGCCAAAACGACGATCCTCCATGCTTTTTCCTAAGAATTTGATCGCCAATTTTCGTACTCTCATTGCCTGCCAGATTCTCGTAGCCCATCTTCCCTGCCCCCTCCCCCCCTTTTCCTCTAAACGTAGTAGAAATTATTCGTACCTTTCCATGTGCGCGCGCCCCAAAGAGATTGTAATCAGGATGAAAATGCCTAGTTTGACATGAACAAATACACACGCAAGTTGACTAAAGGAATGAATCATCCTCGTATGTGCCATATACCACCAAAGAAAAACAATGCATCCAAACACCCTGAGTGGAACTCGCCCCAAGACCCAATACACCTAGAACAGATTCACATGCCCGTATAGTCTGTCCCCCCAAAACATAAAATACAGACACTGTTCCAGCTTCTTGCGAGAGCAGACGATCCTCTACAGCATAAAGATAAAGATGAAAGTAATAATGAAATAATTTATCTCCAACTCCTGACCGTTGCTGAATAGAGATCCCAAAACATTATTTGGGTATTTTTAATGCGAGACTGATGAAATCAGGAAAAATT